CATCACCTCCCCCTCCCTCTTTGGCTGCCGAGGGCTCCCGCGGGCACAGGAAGAGGCCGGCGCGTGTCCACATCCCGCCTGACTCCTGGCCCTCGCAGGAGGGGTGCTCTGCGTGACCTATGCTGTGGCCGTAGGCACCGGCATCTCCTACTTCCAGTACGCAGACATCGACTCAGGGAGGAACATCTTCATCGTCGGCTTCACCATGTTCATAGCCCTGCTTGTGCCGCGCTGGCTCAGCACTGCTCCGGCTCACCTGGCCACAGGTAGCAGGGAGGGTCCGCAGGGAAAGTAAAGCCTTGGGTCCTGAACACCATGGCCATGTAACTCCTGAGGTCTTGGGAGGCTGCAGCGACACATCGCTTGTGGCAGCATCCAAAGGCCTCTCCACCGGCTCCCACCCCCCCCCCGGCAGGGGCCATCCTGGCTCCTGGGCTGGGATGTGTGGGTAACTCTGATGCTTCCCCCAGGTTGGGTGCCTCTGGACCTGTTCTTCTCCTCCCTGCTCATGGTGCCTGTCTTCTTAACTGGCTTCTTGTCCTTCTTCCTGGAGAACACGGTCTCAGGTGGGATGCTCAGGGCGCTGCAGCGGGGGCTGACATGCTCCCTGCATGCCCGGGGACATGGGCACAGCCGTGGCAAAGGGGCTCGCAGCCCGTCACCCTGCTTTCAGGCACCCTGCAGGAGCGAGGGCTGCTTGCCGACCTGGCATCACAGAGAGGAGACCGCTGCCCCCGGGGAGAGAGGGGCAACAGCAGCCGCATGTATGAGCTGCCGGCTGGGCTGAGGAGGCTGCTGCCTCCCTCCAGGTGCCCAGTCTTCCCCTGCTGCTTCCTCTGCCCTGGCCATGAGGAGGAAGAGGAGGAGGAAGAGCAGGAGCAGGAGAGCCGCGCTACCGAGGAGGGGACCGTCAGTGCTGGAGAAGGGACGCGCCTGCTGCTGAAAGCTGGCTCGGTGGAGATACAGTCGGAGAGAAGGCCGAGTGAGATGGAGACACTGGGGTGGCACACTGCGGCCTGAGCGGAGCTCTGCTCCCGCACAGAGGGGTTGTCGCCCATGGGACCTGTGTCAGACAGGAGGCGGCTCGGAGCCCTGCGAGCCTCTTTGCTCCATCTTTCTGAAGCCTGCATGGATTAGAGGAGCCTGAGTGCCCCAGCATGAACCGCATTTCCCCCCACATCAGAGAGGAGATATAAAAACCCTCAGCCAACTTTGCCCTTGGAGGTTTTCTTTCCAGACAGAATCTCCCTGGGAGACAGCAGCTCGCCTACCTGTGACACCTGTAGGATTGTCCCTGTGGAGGGCACAACAGTTTAGTGAAGGACGTGGGAAAGCCTAAGGTCCACTTTGGCCCCGCAGACTCGCCTGGAGAAGCTGGGCCAGGCTGGGTTTGCCTGTGTGCCACGTGCCCTCACATGGGGCTGCTTCCCACCACCGTCCTGGCTGCCACTCGGATGCAGAGCGACTCCCAGCACCTTGTTTGGCCCCATGCTGCCCCTCTGCCCCTGCCATAGCAAGGAGCAGTGCCCAGGAGAAGGGCAGGACCTTTCTGCTGCTTGTAGACACCTCTTTGAGTGCCCCATCCTGCTGGCGACAGGACCCTGTGCCCTGCTTTGCCTTTGCGCGCTCTTTCCCAGACCCTTTCCCCCTGTCTCCCCAATCCCTCGTGCATCAGTGTGAGGGTGCTGAGCTCCATGAGGGGTTGGTTGCTTATTGCCCATGGCAGCAAAAGGCAAAGGGCTCTTCTGAATGTCTGAGGAGGTTGGTCCTCACCTTGAGCGATTGCTGCTTGGAGCCATGCTCGCAGCTCTAGGCATCTGCCCACCACTGGCCTCCCCTTACCCTGCTCCTCTCCCCTACCCTTGCATGTTGCCTTGCCCAGCTGTGCCTCTGGTCCCTCACGTCTGCCTTGTGCCAGGTTTAAAGCTTTGACCTGTCAGGACGCCACGGGCGCAGGGACGCAGAGTTGCCCTGCATAGCTCAGCTCCTCATTGTCACAAGCCTGTTGTCACACACGGTGGCAGCCCCCGGGGTTCACTGCTTAAATGGTCCATTAGGCACTCTCTTATGCTGGCGCATTGCTCTTGCTGCTAAACTAGCCAGCGGGGGATTTTTCTGGGGAAGAAAACATTGCCTTTGACCCCTCGTGATACAGCTCAGTTGCTGGGTTGGCATCCCATTGCTTACGCTGTTTGCACTGCACTGCCTGTATCTGCAGCTCCCAGCATTTACAGCAGACCAGAGTCCACCTGCAAGTGCAGCCTGTACCAGTCTAAACTGGTCGGCGAAGCCCCTGCGAAGGGGTAGCAAAGGGCAGGGCCTTGTGAAGGGGCCATGGGTGCAAGCACGAGTGAGCGACTCAGGCAGCACCCCCCTCTCCTTGCACCCAGCAGCGGTGCTTGCTGCATGCATGTCAAGGGGGATCTGCTCAGGGGTGCAGGAGCTTGGGGAGCAGGGTGCTGGAGGGGGTCATTCTGCAGGTGCAAGGTGGTGGGGGTCTGCGTGCCTGGGGTGCACTGCAAGGGCTCTGTGCGGGGGTGCCGCAGCAGGGCTCAATGTGTGGGTCAGTGAAGGGGGTCGTGCACCGGGTGCAGGTCGGGGGCTCTGGGTTAGCGCACGGGGGCAGCCCGGGGCGGCTCGAGGCCCTGTCCCCTTGGGAGGACCAGGACAGCCCCACAC